TGATTTCTTCATCATAAAGCAAGTCTCGACATACAATCTTAAAATCGAAGACGGAACCGAACTTAACTCTGACCACTCCCCGGTATACCTTACTACATATGGCTCTCCTATTGTTAACAACGAGACGACTAAAATTGTCAATAAGTCAACTGACTGGAATTACTTTAGAACATTCCTTTCTAATAATATTTCGGCTTCGACTGAAATTTCCGATGAAGGCGATGTGGAGTTCGAAATTATGGACCTTACAAGAAAGCTTCAACAAGCCGCGTGGTTCAGCACTCCTATATGGAAGAAATCAAACTGTCCGCATAGATATCCAATGGCCATATTAGAACTACTACAAAAAAAACGTAAAATAAGGAAAAAGTGGCAACATTCGAGATCCCCAGCAGTTAAAGCTAATTTAAATAGGCTGACTAAAGAACTTACCTTTGAGATCAAGCGCTTTAAAAATAAACAATTCCATTCATACTTGTCTGATTTGACCAATGATCGCAGCACAGATTACTCCTTGTGGAAATGCACTCGAAATATAAAACGTCCAGCCTCTCATAACGCACCAATAAGACCTTCACTAGCCAATGGGCCAATAGTGATAAAGAAAAAGCTGAACTTTTTTCTGAACATTTAACAAAAGTATTCTCTATTTCTGGTAGTGAGAATAGTGTTGAAACTTGTTATCTGGGTACTAATAGCATAAACAATTTGCCGCCAACTAGCGAGCTTGAAGTAATGATGATAATAAAGAACGAACTTAAGCTAAAAAAAACACCAGGATATGATCTCATAACTGCAGCTAACTGCATAGTTAAAGTTACTAACATCTTCAATGCTGTTCTACGATTGAAATTTCTCCTTTCGTTGTGGAAGGTCTCAGAAATTATTATGGTCCTTAAACCGGGGAAAGATGCAAACGAGGTTAGCTCCTATAGGCCAATAGCTCTCCTACCTGTGCTTTCAAAAGTATTTGAAAAAATTATGCTTAAACGGATGTTGCCTTTACTTGAACAACAGCAGACCATACCTATGCATCAATTTGGATTCAGGTGTAATCACTCGACCATTGATCAAGTCCACAGAATCACAAACGTAATCGAAACTGCCCTTGAGGAAAAGAAAGTATGTTCAGCAGTATTTTTAGACGTATCCCAGGCTTTCGACAAAGTTTGGCATACAGGTCTACTAACAAAAATAAGAGACATTTTTCCGTTGGAGTATTTCGATATGGTTTCTTCTTATTTGACCAATCGTTACTTCCGTGTTAAGCATGGAAACGATTACAGTGAACTCCAAAAAATCAACGCTGGGGTACCACAAGGCAGTGTACTTGGTCCTTTGTTATATTTAATATACACACATGATTTACCAACGAGCTCAGCGACGTTTACAGCGACGTTCGCTGACGATACAGCTGTTCTAGCGATTGGAGATGATGAACTAACAGCAGCCAGGCGTCTGCAGTCTTCTGTCAATGACATTATCGCTTGGGCTGAAAAGTGGAAAATAAAACTTAACCACTATAAATCAGTTCACGTCAACTTTACAAACCGAAATATCAGATTTATGCCCCTCTACATTGATGGAATACAAATTCCACATTCTAATACGGCTAAGTACCTCGGTATGACATTGGATGCAAAGCTGAGATGGAATGAACATGTAAAAAAAAAGAGAGATGAACTGAATATAAAATACAGATCAATCAAATGGCTTATTGAAAAGAAGTCGAAACTGTCACTTCATAACAAGCTTTTAATTTACAAACAAATATTGAAACCAATTTGGACATATGGTATTCAGCTCTGGGGATGCGCTAGCAGCACACATGTTGAAACCATACAAAAATTCCAAAACGTTATGTTAAGGGGTGTGGCAAATGCACCATGGTACGTAAGGAACTCTGATCTGCATCGTGATCTAGGGATAAATACGGTGGTGGAAGAAATACAGCGAAATGCAAGAATGCACCTGCAGCGACTGTACTCTCATCCGAATGATGAAGCTAACGAACTGGCGTCAATAGAGCCAACACGTCGCCTTAAGCGTCTAAAACCTTGTGATCTTTGGTCGCAACCTGTCCGAAATGCGTGATAAATGAACTTGCGTGATTTCTAATTAAATTCTTTATAATTGTTGATTAAAATTGTTTGTTAGCTTATTATATTGTTAGCTAGTTACTCTTATAAAATTTATTTAATCAAATAAAATAAATTTATATATACAAAAAAAAAAAAAAAAATGAGCTGAGCCGAGTAGACACCGGCTCTAAGTAAGCGTCCACCATCCCGGGATGGCAACGAGGGACATCCAAGTGCGTGGAGAGTGGTTAAGCAGCTGCGCACCATCGAGGGACACAGGAGAGTGCACTGTTCCAAGAGCGGGTAGTTGCACCATCGATGAAGTTCTTTCGTGCTCAACGTAAAAACTATGCTAGACATGAAAGTTGGAAAAATGCATGCCAAAACAGGCAATGCATTTGCAGATAAGTATAATTAGGAATTCAGGGTTTAAACACTCATCAGGATCGAGCCCAGTAAGATCCTGATTATGGCATACTGGAAGAAATTTACAGCAATGATGATTTTCGGGCTGGTGGATGTGGTATTCTGTTACTTGAGTATATGAGAGTGACATTGCATAGAAATGGTTTCAGTTTAATGCCACACCTTCCTCCGTCCTTATAAACTTGGCAAGTCTCCAAGTACGTTCGATGTCTCGTCACCATTGAGTTGGTGGTATAGGTTCAGTTAAGAGTACTCCTGACCTGCGCCAGATCCTGAACACAATCTCCCATAAGGAATTGTGTCAACCCTCGCATGGCCTTCCTGTTTTGCATAGATAACCATGGGGATCGTCATGAGCGACTATACAATCGAACATCGATAGCGGCTAGGAGTTTGGACCCAAAAAACATGAATAATAACAAAACACAAATGTCAACGGAAATGCCAGTACAAGATGGTGTGAATGTACAAGTGCCAATACAAGATGGCCTAAGGAAGTCTGCAATGAACGAGGGCACGTCAAAGCAAGCCATAAATCGGCAAAGAAATGTCTCGACGGACATTAAAGAGGGCGTTCATGAACTGCAAATGCAGTTTGATTTGATGACCGTTTTCCACCAAAGTTGGGTTAAGGCAGTAGAAAAAAGAGAAAAACTGCGAAAAGAAACTATTCTGACTGCCACACCGAATGTGCAACGACAAAAGCGTGTGGCAACAAGTCCAGTGGCGCAAACAACAGAGAATGAGAGCGCCAAAAAAATTCGAGAAGACAGATCCGGAGAATGGCAAACCGTAAACCGGAAGAAGCCTAAAAGCCCAAACGCAAACGGGAAACACAAAAATGATACCCCTGCCACCTCGAAGTGACAAGTAAAAACAGCTGCCGACACGAAGAAACAGTCAAAGACCACGAGGAAGATAGAGGCAGAAGCAAGGAGGACCAGATCAAACAAGGACAGGGGTCCGAAGACAGAAGCCGTCCTTATAAAACCGACAGGAAGCCAAACATAAGCGGATATTTTAAAAAACCATCGTTCGAACGTCAAGCCGGGCGATTCGGAAGTCAAAATTCGCGCAGTTCGGAAGACAATGTCGGGAGCTATGTTACTAGAGCTTGATAAAGGGACAAAGGCAAGACTGCTGAAGTTGAAGAAGCAGTCAAATGAATCCTTCCAAATGGAATTCATCGATTGAAAGCCATGGTCACTGAACCGAATAATCGAGAATTGGTCAGAGCTTATGTGCAACTCCCAACTACAGCAGCGGAAAAGCTTCTCGAAGCAGGCTCAATCACTATTGGATTGATCAGAGCGAAAATGCGGTTGCGCACTAAACTAAGCGCTGTTTCAGGTGCCATGGCGTAGGACATATTCAAAGAAACTGCAAGGGTCCAGACAGAACGAATCTTTGCATCAAATGTGGAGAACCTGGACACAAATTAAAGGATTGCACGAACCCTCCAAAGTGCTGCATATGTTCTGACGCTGGCCTTAAAACCGTTGATCACATCGCCGCATCTGGCAAATGTACATCGGTTAAAACTCAAAAATGACACGACTTCTGCAAGCAAACATGCACCGAAGCAAGACAGCAGAGGCCCTCCTATTACAACTCGTGCATGAACGGAACGTGGGTGTTGTCATAATCAGCGAACAGTTTAGAGAAATCAATAGTGGTGCCTACTTGGCTGATAGCAGTGGAACAGCAGCCATTTGGCTTCCATGCGCTGAAAACTTCCCTTTTTTGGTTAGCGGTGCTGGAGACAGATACGTTTGGGTGCAAAACCGCAACGTCACCCTTATGAGCGGCTACCTATCACCTAACGACAGCATCGGCGAGTTCCAAACAAAACTTAACGCAATCGAGGATTGCGCCACCCAATCAGGCGGCAACTTCATCATAGCGGGTGACAACAACTCCAAGGCTATCGAATGGGGTATGACGACCACAAACTCTAGAGGTAGGCGAGTCCTCGATATGGCAGCCAGATTAGGGCTGGTAGTAGCAAACAGGGGAACGGTTCCCACCTTCCGCAGACTGGGATGCGAAAGCACAATCCCAGACATCACGTTAGTGTCAGAGAGGACAGCGAGTACGCTAAAGAGATGGTCAGTTCTGGAGGACTTCACAGGCAGTGACCACCAATACATCTGGTTCACCGTCGAACTACTTAGCAGGCCAAATGGAACTCCGGAAGAAAATCTACCCGCAAAACTGAATCGAAATATTTTTCTCGAGGTGTTTGATGAGAGGATGATGAGAAACGCTGGAGGGAGAGACGCCAGAAGCATGGTCCGCCACACAATGCAAAGCATAACACAGGCTGGTGGACTGGTGGACTGATGAAATAGCCGAACTTCGAAGGGTCTGCCTCCAAATGCGGAGGAGAATGACTAGGGCCAGAACCCGAAGTAACGCCGCGGAAGAAATTGAAGCACTGAAAGCGGCGGAGAAAGCGTTAAAGCTTGCTATCCACAAAAGTAAGAAAAGAAAATGGAGGTGCGTAACGACGTAAATAACGACCCATGGGGACTTGGCTACAAGATCGTTATGCGGAAACTAGGAACTTTGGCATCAATTCCTGATCTGGAAGAAAGTATGATGGATAATATCGTAAATTCTCTCTTTCCGGACCATGAAGAGCGAAGAGATCCCGAAAGGACCTTCATGGACGACCCACCATTTTTCACGGAATATGAACTTAAAGCCGCCGCACGTTCTTTGAAGAACAACAAGGCTCCAGGACCAGATGGTGTTCCATCAGAGGTAATTAAACTGATAGCAGATGACCGCCCGCAACTCCTGCTTGAAATGTTTAATTCTTGCCTGAAGGAAGGAATCTTTCCAGAGGTTTGGAAAAAACAGCAACTAACTCTGATCAGCAAAGAAAAGGGCATCCCCGAGATGCCGAACGCATACCGTCCGCTTTGTATGCTCGACACATCAGGGAAATTGCTGGAGCGACTGCTAAAACCGCGCATAGCAGAATCCATCGAATCGCTGCACAGCGTGGCAATGCTTACTCGAAGCGCATAGTCCTTCTGGCGGCTCTAGACATCCGTAATGCGTTCAACAGCCTACAATGGGTTGATGTGATCAACGCCCTAGCAAGGCGCTTTAGTACACCTATGTACCTAATGCAAATGATTCGCAGTTACCTTAGCGATAGAGAGCTTCTCTACCACACACGGAACGGCATGAAAACCAAGAAGATTTCTTTCGGTGCAGCACAGGGCTCCGTTCTCGGCCCCGATCTATGGAATGCGAGCTATGACGAAATATTCTCCATCGAAATGCCAGACAACGTTCACCTAGTCGGCTTTGCTTATGATGTAGCTGCAGTCATCACAGCTCGAAATATGCACGAGGCACAACTCAAACTGCAACAGGTGGTGAAACGCACGATGGCTTGCATGGACGACCGTGGCCTGAAACTAGCAACCGAGAAGACTGAATTGATCTTACTAACGAAGCGGCAAATACCCTTGGAAATCGAAATGCAGGTCTGGGACTCGACCATAAAAACATCCAAGGTAATGAAATATCTGGGCATCCATCTGGACTCTAGGATGTCGTATCGGGCTCAGATAAATCATGCTGTCGAAAAACCTTCAAAGGCCTCAGCGTCCCTTAGAAAGCTGATGGCAAACGTTGGTGGACCAACAGAAGGTAAACGAAAATTGCTTATGGCAGTAGTGAACGCAGTACTACTCTACGGTTCGGAAGTATTGTCAAACACCTTACAGATTAATCAGAAGCGCAATGCGCTCCAAAAAGTCCCGAGAACAGCCGCACTCAGAGTAACATCAGCTTACCGAACTGTATACGGCGCAGCGGTTCTTGTGATCAGCAGCCCAATGCCCATCGACTTCTTGAACGAAGGTGAGCATATTTAGGCCGCCAAAACAACGACAACAACAGCGTGAGCACAAGCTACCGAGAACACACAATGCAAGAATGGCAGAGCAGATGGAGCAACGAAATAGTGGTAGGTGGACTGCAAGACTAATCCCCGATTTAGTGGTATGGACGACAAGAAAGTTCGGCGAGGTCAACTATTACTTGACGCAACTCCTCTCTGGGCACGGATACTTCGGCATGTACCTGTACCGGATGAACATTCGCGAAGAACAGAGTCGTATTTACGACGCAGAAGTCGATGACGCAGAACACATATTCTTCGAATGCATTATATGGTCAACCGAGAGAGCCAGCCTAGAAGCACAGATTGGCGGCATGTGGACCACGGAAAACGTAGTACCTTTACTATTGGCAAGTGAGAGCAACTGGTCCGTGGTGGCGAGGCACGTGGAGGCAGTACTGCGTGGAAAAAAGAGGCGCCTGGACGCAGGTACAACAGCAGCGTCGTAAGATTATATCTTACATACAGGATGTGCATGACCTGAAGCAATACCTAGTGGTGGTTCTGGGTCATGTACTTCGTCCTGGAAAGGGGAGATTTTTAGCATGTCAGCGACTAGCGCGAACCGTGCACTACCCACAGAAAGACGTTTCTGCGGGTGTGTGTAGACATTTTTTGTTCCCCAGTTTCAAAAAAAAAAAAAATGAACGATTGCACCGACAGCATAATTATGTTTTGTGTTACGTGGATATCGTTCATTGACTCATCTGAATACAATAATTTATTCATGAACTTTTCTATTTCATTTTAGCTTGCATGTTTAATTTGTTTCTTCTTAATTCTGTTGATTGCAGAGTCAACGAGTGACGTTTGATTTTTAATGAGTCGTTCCAGGTGATTATCGTTCCTTTTAAGACCAAGCACAATAGCTTGACATTTGTGTTGCATAGTTTAAATCGAGAACATCAAACAATGAATTGGCAAAATTTACAACAATGTCTATAGCTCCTCTTGCGATTCTTTTTTTAACAGAGAGAAGATTAAGTTTCATTTGTTGTTCCGGTCCGATCCGCTGAAAATAGTTGAGTAAGACCTTGCATGCCATGTTATTCAATGCCTTGTCGCAAAATTTTGCAACGCTTTTGTTCCATCAGTTAAAGTGTTCATTTGTTGTTGATATGGGGAAATGTCAAAATATACAGTCATTTTCCAATCAACAGACATGAGTTGGACTAGATTTAGTTGTTCAGAATAAATGACAGGTTTATTGTTGAAATGATGTTTATTGATGGGACTACATAGAACAATTGACAAAATGAGTAAAGTTACAATGGTAAGCAGCAATCCTGGGTTCAAACATGACCGTTTGTTGTCCAATTGACTAATAATTCAGATTTTCTGATGCTTACGAGCATCGACACTGGATTCAATTTTCTTTTCTGGACCTTCAGGAAATAATAAAGCTAATTTAAGCACCGGTGTTTTAAATATTCCCTTCTTTGATTGAATGTCACAAACTCTCACCAATCCATCTTCGCCTTTCTAAACCTTGATGATGCGTCCCAACGACCATTGCAGAACTGGGAAATTGTCTTCCTTGAGGATTACTATCGTATTCATCTGTATGTTGCTGGTTTGGCAGGTCCAGCGCTGCCAAAAACTGTATTTTAGCTCTGATACCAGTTGTCAACGTTGAAGTACTTTTTCTTTAGGGTCATATGCATTCACATTCACGCTTGAAGTGATTTCCTACTAAAAAGTGACCTGGAGTGATTGTGTGGTGTGAAGCTTTTAAATAAAAGAATAATTTGTAAGTAAAAGTATTTACATATTAATCATTGCATCCGTTCGGTATGCATGTCTGAATTAGAATGTGTACTTATGCTCTGCTTCATAAGCTTAAAGCTAAACTTAACATACAAAAACAGCTTACGTTTAGACTTATTATGTATCTAAGGGAATGGTAAAGCATGCATATATCAAATCTTATCGCACATAGCGTGGTTTTAAATAACATGAAGGCATTGCTGCTTCATGTGTGTTTTATTTATAAATTCATTCCAACCACATATAAATGATATATAATTATTGATATATTATTATTAATTTAATATAAGAAAATTTATATATAGTCTTTTTTTCATTGTAATCTTATGTTAATTTTAAGTTGTAATTAATAATGAATTAAAGAAATAAAAGAAAATTGTAAAAAATATACTTTATATAATTTTATATTTCTATATAATTCTTAACCTATCCTTATGTATTACTATTAAACTATTATCTTTCTTACTTTTCAGTGTGCAATTATTTCTATCATCAATACTAGTTACTATATAAGGTCCAATATATCTATTATATAATTTATGTCCTGCTTCATTTGAAATTAATACTAAATTTCCTATCTCTACCTTAATTCTATTTTTTTTTTATCATAGTTTTCTTTCTGCGTCTGTTTATACTTTTGTATTTGGGCATTCGCTCGTTTTTGTGCTACTTGAAGTCTGTATTTCAACTCTTTATCATACGATTCATAATTGTAGATAGGGTCTATTTGTTCTTGATTTAAAAACTCATGTACTGAAGATGTTTTGCCAAAAATTAACTCAAAGGGCAGTAACCATGTACTGCAGATGGTGTTGTATTATAACAATAAGTATAATATTTTAACCATCTGTCCCAGTCAGTTTTATCAGATTTTATATAGTTTCTAACGTATTCGTTAAATGTTCTATGATTCCTTTCCATTGTTCCTAAAGTTTAGTGATGATAAAGTTTTGATGTTTTATTTTGTATTTGTAACAATTTACGGATTTCTGTTAATATTTGATTTTTATATTCCGTTCCCATGTCAATGATTATAGTTTTCATGGGTCCATATAAAAGTATGAAATTTTCAAATATTGCTTTTGCCATGACTTGAGCATGTTTACTATTTACTGGTATGGCAACAAGGTATTTTGTGAGATCATATACCATAGTGATTGCATATTGATTTTGTTCATCCGTTTTAGGTAGTGGTCCGATCGTGTCTATAAGGACCGTCTCAAATGCTTTCACTGGCGTTGGTGAAATTACCATAGGTTCCTTAGTTTTGCGCCCTGATTTATTTATTTTGCATTTAATGCATGACTTGACATACCTTTTTATGTCTCTTGTCATATTTTTCCAATAAAAGGTTTTTGAAATTTTTGATAATGTTCTAGAGATTTCTGGGTGTCCTCCAGAAATGGGATCATCATGGTACTTTTTACGGATTTCTAGAATATCCTTTTTAGTTAATAGTCTAGTTTTGCTAGGTATGAGCTCTATTTTAAAATTGTCTAACATGTTGGTTCATTCTTTCTTGAACATATTTATCCGGATAATCTTAAATATGTCGTCTCCTAGAGACATTTGGGCCTTTTTTTATTCCATTATTACCAGCTATTTTTTCAAGCTTCAGAAAGAGTTGACCTAAATCAATTTTTTTGTTAGTAGTAATGTCGTTCATATTAATTGTGCCTTTTATTATTTTACCTAGCTTTATGTTGATAGTATTACCCTTACTATGGCACTTTTTCTTTTTATATTTTCTTCAAGAGCTTCATACATTTTTTCATTGAATTGAATTTCTTTGTTTTCATTTATGGTCATATTTTCAACTTCTTTTCTTGATTGTGACCTTGTTCTACCTTGAATAGGTTTCTTTGTTCTTGTATATTTTTAATATTATTAAAGTTCACTCTTGATAATGCATCTGCTGTATAATTTTCTTTACCCCTAATATACTCTACTACCAAATCATATACCTCTAAATCTAAACGTATTCTAGTTAACTTAGATGAAGGGGTTTTACATTCTTTACATTACATTATTCAATTTTAATAGGACATTAGTCAATTCCATTTATATTTATATGTGTTTATATTTGTTTGCTTTTTTTTCAGTTTGCATTGTAATAATTGAGAAAACAAATCAAAATTAAAAAAAAAGTTTTATTATAGACATATTATTACATTGTATTTGTAATTTAGAATATTACACAATACTATCTACCGACGCACCTCTTGTTAAATATTTTTTCTTTAATGTATTTTTGTGCATCTTGTATACTTTAAGAGTACCATTTAAAAAAATAAGTATTGTTAATATTAATAATAAATACTTTACTTCATTTAGAATTTCTTCATTGAAATTTTCCTCGATTAATACGTCATCTACAACATTTGCATTAGGGTTTTTAACCACTGGCTTTGAGCTGGTTCCTCCCATGCTTGTATAAATTTTATAGTATAAATTTTATAGTTTACAAATTAAAAAAAAATATTATGAAATTAGTTTTGTAACATAAAATTTATGTTCTTAAATTTCACGTCATAACTTAAAAGTGAACATAAAACAATAACAAAAGCAATAAAGCAAGTATTAAAAACCATCAACAAATTTAATATACAAAAAAAATAACACCAGAACAATAATAAATAAAATTGTAAACAACACACCGTTGATTTTACAATAACAAAACAACTGCATGCTTCGCACTTCGCGTGTGTAAAAGGCGAAGCAAAAACACAGTGAGAACAGTCAGCAAAGCATCGAGCTAGTGAAGACATCGTTCTAAACTTACAAGCTGATACATCGGTGAATAGAAATATACATTTCAGTTCGCATTGTTTTTTTTATATATAATAGAAATAAACATTTCTATCTTTGTTTATAACGAAACCCACATTTTGCTAGAACCACGTAGAGTAGAAATATACATTTCTACTATTTACTCATCTTTTGATAACGACATCAACAGTGCAGGCAGAAAAGGAATTTACAATTCTTCAAAGAAGCCAGCGATTTCATAGCAGAGCAACACTACCTGATTGTAGCGAAGCCACCACCCACCGTGTATCCAAACTTACCACCGTCCCAACATATAAATTTTATTGTAGGATTGAACCTGGAATCCGGCGAGCATAACCTCGGCCAGAAAGGTTCGTTACAATTGGCGCCCGAGCAGGGACGGTGGGAACAAAACTGACCAACATCTTCAGTTCATTA